GATGAGTTAGAGTATGCTTGAACTAGAAAGGATTTTATGATGAGGTTCCATTATGTTAGTAACGACTAAGTGTAGGTGTTGATTAGAAGAGTAAGAGTATTCATGAGGTGAGAGATCTACGATGGGCTTATGATTTTTAAGGGAGAACCCCTAATATTCAAAGGGTTATAGAACTAATTAAGTAATGATGTATAGTAAAAGAGTAAATAGTATTTTAGTTTTGAAGTAGAAGGTGGAGGTAATCTGTAAATAAGTAGACTGAGAGATAAAAATTGACTACTGGTCATGAGGTGTTAGTGGGCGAGTGTTTCTTAACATTTATATGGTAGTTGTAAGTTAGTGTAGTAAGCGAAAAATCATATTAATATTTGGGTTTAGTAGTAAAAAATAAGCTTGAATTTGAGATGAGTGTCATGATAAAAAAAATGGCAACATGAGGGTGATGACGTTGGTCTCGAGATCTGATCTGGTAGACTTGACATAGAGAGGGGAGAAATTGATATGTTAGCTGCAATAAATATGAATGGTACAAGGGAGAGACCCTAACTTTTAGATAAGGGCAGTGAAGTATGGCTAAGTCATAGGAGTAACAAGAGCATTAAGAGGTGTACCGAGATGGTATGTAATCAGATGAGGTTCCAATTAAGTTAATGATTTTCCATGTGTGCCTAGATAATATAATTGAGTTGTCAATGTGGAATAGGCTGATATAAGCAATGTTTTTCCCTTAAAGAGTTAGATGAGGTATCCTTATAAGACAATGAGAAGAAGGTAAGAGAAGCATCTTCGAAAGAGGTCCTCCCTAGGAATTGAAGGAGTCTTAGTACCTGTTTATGGAGAGTTCAGTAGGCCTAAGATAAGCCTTTCCTGAGTAATAGATCCATAACCTTCAAGTGTTAGCTTCAGACCCAAGGAGGAGATGATAAGATGAGAAATCAAGTCAAGTGTTGAGAATGAGATAGTTATGTCTTCAGAAAGAGTTAAGGAGGTATATCAATCCATTCATACTCTAGTGTATTCCTCAAAGTTCAGTCATTACAACATCATAATGATGTTTCTTATATCAGAATTGTGTTTATGACCTATGCTCATAAACTTCAGAGAGATTCACATATATGCTTAGTTTCCAAAATGAGGGGCAAGGACTTTAGCCCATTAATCTCAAGCTTAATCCATGAAGTTATGGGTATCAATCTCATGATATCTATTCATATAAGCATTCATGTCTCATAGTATGTCCAGTCTTGCAAATTCATGATTTACTCTACATAGCTAGCAACATAATGTTATGCCATGCATATTCTTATATCAGAAATATCGAATGAATCATGCTTATGACCTTTCACCCTAAAGCTCCTTCAGTTACCCTTTTATTTTTGAGAGTCGGATTGTTGATAGTAGCGGTGTGATGATAGAGAAGAAGATTGTTGCTTTTTATTGTGATAGTGATGGTGTGTTTATTCTATCTAAGGTTTTGAATGTGAAAGGAGAATGAGAGAAGGTTTTACGATAAGTAATAAGTCAAATTCCTAGTAATAATTCATGAAAGTTCTTTTGATAGAGATATGAGAGGATTAGGAATTCTTATCAGAAGTGGTTAGTAGGAGTCCATGGAGTGGTTAAGGTTCTAGGCTTGAATGTAGTGTTCTTGGGATGAGATTTTCTACAAAGTTATAGAACACAAATCTTGTGATCTAGATCAAGAATAATCACCTTATGTTAAGTACTTGGTGATTTTGAGTTAGGCTTGAGTATAGAATGAGTAACCCCTTTCCATTCTTTGTTCAGCCGTCATTCGAGGATGAATGATCCCAAGAGGGAGATATTATAACGTCCCAAAAATTTCTAAGTTGAGACTCGAGTCATTCTTTATGGTAAATAAGTTTTTTTCCGAGTGATTCGATATTTTCTTAGATGTTAAGGTTGCTAAACTTCATAGCATAAAGTTGAGTTGGAAATTTTCCGTCAAATCAAATTCCTCTATGAGATTATTTCTTGGTCAACTTCAAACGACCATAACTTTCAGCACATAAAGATTTAGGTGGCCCATGAGCAATCAAATCGAAGATCTCTGAGTCCTCTTTCCAGAGGTGCCGAGTTTGCTAAATTCTGAGTTCGGATGAAGGAGATATGCATGTTTGAGTGCAGCTTGTCTAATTAAGTCAATCCATCCATTTTAAGGAGGGGTATTTTGGTCTTTTCCTTACCCCCACTAACCTAACTCGTTTTTTGTTAATATTTTAGGAGTCTAAACTGATTGGAATAAGTTTTAGTCATTCTTAAACACGCTTAGGGTTTTTGAGAGGAGTTCAAGAGGAGAAAAGAAGAGCATTCAAGATTCTTGCAAGCTTTGAGGATTTCGCCAAGAGTTTAACTCTTTCGAGGTATGTAAGCTTTCATAGTGATGGGTTAGTTCTCCCTCACACCAATCATGATTTTCCTTATTGAATTCGTCCATGAGATTTGGTGTAATGAGTTCTTGATAAGTTTTCTTGAAGTTTCGTTCTTCAATCTTTATTATTGGAGTTTAATGACTTCTTTAGGTGAGGGTTATGAGTTTGAGGGTTGTTTTTGAGAAAAGTTGAATAGGAATTCATTCACTTATGTTGGGTTTACGAATCTAAGGAAGTTTGGAAGAAATCCATTGATTCTAGATGAATTAGGACCAAAAATCGAGAAGAAAAATTCGTCAGAATTTTCTAGGGGAGGGGTGGCGCGACGCACCAAAGATGCGCCAGGGGGGCTGGCGCGCCATGCCTACACTGCACCAGAAATGGTGTTTTGAAGATTAGGGGTTGTGGCCATGCGCCAGGGTTGCCTTCCCCTGTTCTTCTTCTGTCGTTCGTCCCGTCTGAATTCTTTTAAAACGTGTCTTCTCTCTCTTCCTGATTTTTACAATCCAAACTACATCTAATGATTGAGAAATCCTATATATCAAAATCATGATCATGATCCTTGAATTCATAATTGAAATTCAAGGTTGAGTTAAGAGTAAAGTTCGAAAAAGTCCCTTTGAGTCTTTTTGAGAAGTCTTCTATTATTATTTATAATATGTTTCAAGACTTGAGTAAATGAGTATCACAATGAGAAGAGTGTATTCATGAGTTTACACTATTATTGAGATCCTTAAGCCGAATCGTTCATGCCCATAATTCCGCATGAACTCCATAAATTGAGTATGTTTGAGAGGAGTAATATCATTGAGTTATGATTTCCGAGTTCGTGAGTCCTTGTGTTCTTGAGTCTTGAGTTCTGCGTATTGAGTTTCATATTGCTATTAAAATCCTTGAGTTGAGTCATTCATGTCCATAATTCCGCATGAACCATATGAATTGAGTTATAAATCTTGAGAAACTTTTTAAACCCAACACTTGAATCTTACATAGCGTTTTTGAGAAAGTAAAGATGAATTTTGAGAAAAGATATTTCTAAAACATGATTAGTATGACAATCGACTATGCCATCAATGTATGAGCAGTATGGTATCGAGATGTATCATCAAAGTTTATGCAGTATGACTTCCCGAGTAATCAATGATCATATTATAATATGATCTTGATATGTTTTTGAGAAAGAGTTTTCAAGTATGAGTAGAGTAAGAGTATAAGGGGACTATGTATTCCCAAAGGCATCAATTTTTGCATTGATAAAAGAGAAACTAAGATTTCTAAATGAGTTTTGAGTTTAAAAGATAATTCAAGAGCAGTTACCTCTTTTAAGAGGGTAGTTTGAGCAATTATCTCACACCAGAGGAAGAGCTATGTTTTTAAATATATGAGCATGAGTATATATTATTGGGACTAGTATTGAGCATCGATATAAGGATTAGTTCTAACAACTCAAAATCCTCATAAACCATGTCTGCCAACATGGGTAAAGGGTCATAAGTTTTAGATGATTCCTTATTGATTTTTAAGCATAACTTAGTGGATCCACTTAGTTGAGGATGTCCTATACTCCGGCAAGGTATAGGAAAGTTCTGGCAGCGTGGGCGAGATGTTGTATCATCACATTTCTCATAGTGATGGTTGTCGGTTAGAGAATATCCCAAATAAGAGTAATGAGTTTATTATTGTATTTTCATATACATTTGAGTTATTATCTATTGTTTTAAAAGTCTCATGTATATATCATCATTTATTGTTGCTTTTATTTTGAGTTGATTATTCCTTGAGTTTGAGTTGAGTATCTTGAGTAAAGTTGAGTACCCTGAGTTCAGTACAGTATCCTAAGTTGAGTTGAGTATCCTGAGTTAACTTGACTTGAGTTGAGTATCCATGAGTTAAGTTGTGTATTCTTGAGTCATATTGAGTAGAGACGAGGTAAGTATGTCTTCCCTTTTATTAAATCGAGCTTATACTTATGTTGCAGAGTTCTCCTTACATGCTCGTACATTCCGTGTACTGACGTCATTTGGCCTGCATCATTTCATGATGCAGATATAGGTATTCAGGATCATCAATATGCATTTCGTTGAGGTCATGTGGTATTCCAGTCAGTTGTGGTGAGCTTTCTTGTATTCCGAAGGACTTTACCTTTACCTTCATTTAGTAGTTTTGAGATGTCGTGGGTCTTGTCCCAATATCCTTCTGTAATAGTAGAGGCTTCATAAATAGACAAAGTTGAGGAGTTTTCTGTATTTACTTTCTTTTGAGTTGTTTTACAAACTCTGAGTATATATGTTAAGTATTGTTCAGACTTTTTAAAGTTGAGTATTTGAGTTTAATGAATTTAATTCAGTTTTAAGCTTATATATGTTTGAGTTAGTCTTCCACTTGTAGTCAGCCAGGATGAGTGTTCGCTTGGGGACCAACAATGGTTCTTGACTGTCGGCCATGTCCATGATGTAGACTCGAATAATGAAAATATACATATATATACCTGATTTTTCCTAAGTTAACAGGTGCACGTGCACCCTCACGAGAACATGTAGGTTCACCTCTGAGTGGAGAAGACTGGAGCTCAACAACAACCTAGAATGCATCAACAATTTCAACAGCTTCAAAAAGGAAAAGTTAAAATCTTGTCTAGTGAAAAAGTAATAGGCTATCCAAGAGCGTGGAAGGTGGTTGGGTGTAAAGCCAACAAACAAGTAGTTGATACTTCTATTCAAAATACTAACAGGTTTGCAGCTTTGTTGGATGATCCACAAGCAATCAGATCAAACAATGATGAGAATCAAGAATCAACAAGTTAGCATGAGGATATAACTGATCAACCGAGTAAGCATGTGAAGTCTAGAAAGGAATGGGTGTTACAAACTTTTGGGAAGCAAGAACTTCCTACACAAAGGAAGGATGCCAACTCAATAAGTGAACAACCGAGGATTCAGAGTCTTGAAAAACCTTTAGATACCCTGCAAAGTGTAGTTACACATTCGGATAAAGAGAGAGCAAAAAAGGCTGAAGGGGAAAATGAATTGATTAATCAGAAGAGTACCATTTTCGGGAGTGTGGAGTATCAATGTAGTGCTAACAGTGAAGATGATCTATCCATTACTATTAATTCAGTAACCCTGTATAGCCCAGTGTTAGATAATATTGAAGAGAATAAGAATGAAGGGGAGGTGATTACAGAAGATAATGTATCAAAAGTAATTATAGCACTACCACACCAACAAGTTGTTGTTTTACCAGTAGCCATGAGCAGTCCTGCAATTCAAGTCAATAATCAACAGTTAGATAACCAAGTTTCAATGTTAGTTGAAAGAGTGCAGGCAGGGGATGTGGATGTGAATGGAAAGAAAAATCTCAAGACATGTCTCTCACAGGCAATAATTGAGGTTCCAAGGGTGGTTCAATTGGATGATAGTCAGTTGATTCAAATGGAATCCCCTAATAGAATGTGACATACCATTATTTCTTATAATTTCGATGTAGAAAACAGTTGTAACAATGGATCACATGGTACACTAATTGCTAAAGGTTTAATGGAGGAGGACAATATTGATGAATTCTGGTTTGTTCAACTTGAGGCAGACCTATCACCAAGACGGTTAAACAGTGCAAGAAAAGGGAAAAAACAAGGGAATGGTGATAAAATGTACCTATCAGAGTTCACCCTAAAAGGGTCAAAACAGGTCCTAATAAACAATGAATGCTCTTATATGGAATATTAGATCTTTCAGATCCCAACAAGCTTTTCAAAGAGTAAAGATGTTGCATAACCACCATATCAACATGTATAAGAGACGATTGAGCATGTCATTTGTTACTCCCAATTCAAATAGCAAAATTTAGTTCTTTGCAAATAATGGGCTTCATGCTACTGTTGTAAAGAGCTCAGATCAATCAATTACCGTTAAGCTTCACAATCAGCTAACCTCACATATTTTCTTTGTAGCACTAGTCTATGACAAATGTACCAATGAAGAAAGATTGGTATTGCATATTTGAGGTGGCATCATCAATGACTAATCCTTGGCTAGTATGGGGTGATTTTAATGTGGTATTGAATGTTGAAGAAAAAATTGGTGGTCTACCAATTCATGATCTTGAACATGAGGATTTTGATAATTGCATTTCATCTTGTGATCTTACATAAATCCAATTTAAGGGAAGACCTTTAACTTGGTGGAATGGAAGGGATGGACATAACTACATTTTTGAAAGATTGGACAGAATCCTAATGAATCAAGAGATGCAAGAAAGGTTTACCCATATGGAGGTGGAGCACTTAGCAAGGACAGGATCAGATCATGCCCCTATGTTTCTGTCTTGCAAGGTTGGAGAGATTAGTAATAGGAAACCTTTTAGATTTCTTAAGTTCTAGGTTGATAATCCAAATTTCTTGGAGGTAGTTAGACAAAATTGGTTTGTTAATGAGTCCCAAAATCCCTATTTTGACTTTAGAGATAATATCAATAGAGTCAAAGCAACATTAACAAAATGGAGCAGAGAAACATATGGAGACATTTTTAAGTAGCTTATTATCAGGGAGGATATTGTTAAGATTAAAAACAAGTTATTTGAAGAATTCCCAAATGCTGAGAACAGGAAAGTGCTACACAGAGCACAGACTGAATATAAGAAATACTTGCATTTTGAAGAGATATTTTGGCAACAAAAGGCTAGGTATGATTGGTTTGATAGTGGAGACAAAAATACTAAGTTCTTTCACAGTATTGTGAAGGTTAGGAGAAGAAAGCTACAACTGCAAAGAATTCAAGATGCTCACGGTACATGATTAGAAGAGGCAGGTGAAATTGCAGAGATGGTTGTACATTTTTTTTCAAAGTCAGTTTTTACAAGAGAGGGATGCTACTGATTTCTCTTTGTTGAGAAATATCCCCTCTCTTATAAATAAAGCAGAAAATGATGCCTCGTGCAAACAACCTTATATAGAAGAAGTCAAGAGAGAAATGTTCAACCTAAATGGGGATAGTGCAAGTGGGCCAGATGGTTTAACCGATAGATTTTACCAGTCATGTTGGGAGATTTTAGGTAATGATATCCTAAGGTTGGTTCAATATTTTCTCAATGGTAATACACTTTACTCATACTAATTTGGTCTTTTTGCACAAGAAAGAGATTATTCAATTTTTTTCTGACTTAAGGACAATTAGTTTAAGCCATTTTATCAACAAAATCATCTCCAGGGTTGTGCATGATAGGCTTGAGGTATTACTACCTAAATTGATTTTGTATAATCAATCTGGTTTTGTTAAAGGGAGGAGTATCATAGAAAATATTTTGATGACATGAAAGATAGTTACTGATATCAGAAAGAGGGGTAAGTCTGCTAATGTGGTCATTAAGTTGGATATGTCTAAGGCATATGATACAGTCTCTTGGTTTTTTCTTATGAAAGTGTTGAGAAAGATGGGTTGTTCAGAGAGATTTATAGATTTGATTTGGAGACTACTTGCTAATAACTGATATTCAGTGTTGATTAATGGTCAACCTCATGGTTTCTTTTACTCTACTAGAGGTGTAAAACAGGGTGATCCTTTATCACCTACTCTTTTCGTATTTTCATCTGAAGTTTTGACTAGGGCTTTAAACGCTTTATTTGAGGATGATCAATATGTAGGCTATGGATTACCAAAATAGAGCACTAATCTAAATCATCTTGCTTATATTATGCAGATGACACTATTATTTTTCCATCAGCTAATGCATATTCCTTGAAGAAAATAGTGTCAATTTTGCAGGATTATGAGAGTCAATCTGAAAAGAAAGTAAATAAGGATAAAAGTTCAGTTTATCTTCATCAGAAGCTACAACTGAAGTTAAACAACTAGTGGAAGATTGTACAGGTATAAAATGGGTCTTTTTTCTTTTAAATACCTAGGTTGTCCTATTACTCATTCAAGGAAAAGAAAAAAGCACTATGCAAAGCTAATTCAAAAAGTGAAGGCCAAGTTGCAAGCTTGGAAAGGAAATATGCTAATATATGGAGGTAAAGAGGCATTGATAACCAATGTGTTACAAAGTATTCCATTCATGTGCTTTCTACTATAGTTCCTCCTAATTTTATCTTAAAGGATCTTCATAGAATTTTTGCTAAATTCTTTTGGAGTAATAAAGTCTCAGGAAGGAGTAAGCATTGAGCTGCTTGGGAGAAGGTTTTCTTGCCTAAACAAGAAGGTGGTTTAGGATTTAGGTCCATGTTTGATATCCCAAAAGCCATATATGCAAAGCTCTGGTGGAGATTCAGAACGCAAAACACCCTATGGGCAAATTTCATGTGGAACATGTATTGTAAGAAGCAGAGTCCTACACTTGTTCAATGGAAAGGGGGCTTTCAAGTGTGGAAGAATATGTTGCAAAATAGAGAATGTATTGAACAATTCTTATGGTGGGAACCTAAGGGGGTACTTCTTCAGTTTGTTATGATAATTGGACTATGCTAGGTCCTTTATATCTTCAACATACAGAAGTGCACACATGTCACCCAATGATAGATGTTGATAAATTCTTGAAGGAAGCTGGTTGGGTTTATGTTAATATGGAACATCATTTACCAGAGAATGTGGTTAACCAGGTTAGATTGCATATGAGTCATATTTTGATGGCTGATCAAGGGGACAAGCCTTGGTGGACAAAAACAAGCACTGGAAAGTTGTCTAGGATTTGTTAAGAAAAAAGAGAGGATGTAAATGTGTACTTTAAGCAAATTTGGGGGAAGGGTCTTCCTTTTAAGGTTGCATTATTTGGGTGGAGAGCATGGTCAAATAGAGTTCATGTAGCTACTGTAATGGCTAATTGGAATCCCAATATTTCTCAATTATGCACTTGTTGTAGTGATCCTAGTAGAGAAACCTTAGAGAATTTATTTATAAAAAGGGAGATTGTGAACATAGTCTGGAAATACTTCACATATGCTAGGCAAACAATAGTAATTCAAACACTTCCTATTATAGTATTATGGTTTTTATGGAAGAGAAGAAATACACTGGTTCATGGTGGCTCTTATTGGTTATCTGGGATACAAATAGCAAGGTGCAAAAGTTTATGACATGTAGATTTGGGTACAAGGATGTCCCTAATACTTGGCCTCTTATGGTGGCACTTCTAGATGGTTTCAGGCCCTGTTTTATATCCAGATGGGTAAGGTGGAATCCTCTTATTGAAGGTTGGTGGAAGGTGAATACTAATGGAGCTTCAAAAGGAAATTCAGGTCTTAGTGCTGCAGTATTTTGTATTAGACATAGCAATGGAAACCTAGTTGTTGCAAGAGGGTCGAAATTACCAGACACTACTAATCTAGTTGCTGAGGTTGTGGCTATTAGAGAGGCTTTGCAATACTCTTGGGAGAAGGGATATAACAACATTATTGTAGAAACTAATTTGTTGGCATTGGTACATATGTTAAATGGTGTTTGGAATATACCATGGAGTGTGGCTTTGGAAGTCAACTCCATTAATAGGCTAATACTATCAGTAAGAGTACAACACTCTTTAAGGGAGGGAAATATTCTTGCTGATTTTTTTTCCTAACCTGGTATTTTATTTTGTTTTGTAGGTAACTATGAATTTACAAATTTCTAGGAGGTCCAATCACAAGCAGAAGATTCCAAATATGAGAATTAGACTGTCAAATGTTACAAGTTACTAAAATTGTGCGTTAATCTACAGGTTCATGGTGAAATTTTAAGCAAGCTAGATTAAAACTATATCTCAATGCCTCTAGAGTCTGAAGTAACTTTGTTTGGTCAATATACCATGCACCTGGTGAAAGCTTTGAGGTGTATCATGTGGTATAAAACACTAAGAAGGTAATGGCATTCAAGTCTTATAGGAATTGCAAGATCACTCTTTGTTAAAGGCGTTAAATATGCAATCTCAGTCCGATAATGAAGAAAATCAGATAGAGTGCTATTGGGTAAACATACCTAAAGAGATGATTGAAGATGAAGTCGAAAATAATTCACAAGCTCTACAACAGACATTACAACAATCAACAAAATTAGTGAAATTTACCCGAGTTCAGAAATAGGTGGTGGTATTAATCCCTTGGTTGGATTCAACCCACTTAAACCTATATTTGGGTAAGGATTATCTGATTTTAGGTTGAGAAGGTACCAGATGAATCAAAATGGGAGATTAGATCTATCGATTTACTACTCGATAAAGTTCAGATCTAATCACCAATTCAAAATAACAATTGATCAAGATCAGGAGCATACCTATCCCTTGAAGATGAATCAAAATGGCATTTGAGAGATGAACAAGAACGGAAGGAGTAAGCCTGAATTTGAGACAAGTTCCACTCTCTTTTTTGCTACTATTTTGCCCTTCCACTTTCCTATATCTTTTGTGTTGTAAATATTTTGTTTTATGAAGTGAGCTGGTTGTCCATATTCCTAATAAAATTTAAGATCTAATGGATCTTATAGTTAAAAAAATTACTTTTTTATTTCACTTTTGATTTTGTTTTAATTCAACTTCTTAAAAATTAATTCTCCTTTTTTGAGTTAATAATGATTTCAATTCAGCTTTTTAAAATTAATTCTGGTCTTTTAAGTTAAAAAAATTGCTTTAAGTCAACTTTTTAAATAAAACTTCTCCTCTTTTGAGTTAAGAAATAAATGAAATTTGTAGAAATAAAATTGTAGTACCACAATGCAAGATCCTTTTGTTGATTAAAATTCTCCAACGGCTTTATGAATTAAAGACATAAAAACAAAATAAATAAAATGGAAATATATAAAGGAAAAAAAGTGTAATTTGAATTAATTGACTAATAAATGAAATTCTTTGATTTTAAAGAAAATCTTTGTTGTAATCTTCTCTCTTTGCTATCATTATTTTCAAGTCAACTTTATTTATTTATTTTTTTGTGTTTTCTCTTGTATTTAAGTTTTGCACAAATTATTTTCACTCTCATTTTCTAGTCTCTTCTTATTAAGTTTTGTCTTTTTTTTCTTTTCTTGTTCAAGTGAGACTTATTCTAGAAAAGAAAATCATGGAGTCATGGAATGCTCAAATGATGTGAGTTTCTCAATGAAAACTATATTCCTAATTAATTTTTTTAATATTGTTTTCTCCTTTTTATGTTTTCATAATTTTAGTTTTCTTAACTCTAGTTTTATGACTCTTTTATGATATGTATTCTTTCCCCTTTAGTGTTCTCATAATTTTAAATTTGAATATTTTTTCCTAATCAAAGTAATTTAGGTGAAACATGCTTGAAATAAGTATGGAAAACAAATAAGTTTTGATTGATCAAGTAATATGAATAAAGACAAGAGGGAGTTGCTCGGAAGTTAAGCATCTCACATTTTCAAGTCTGAGGTTGTGAGTTCGGGTCATTAATGAAAACAAAATGACGAGTGCTCTTAAGAAAGGACAAATACAAGAAAATAATTTTTCACTAGTTATTTTTAAGGAAATGGAGACACATTTAAACAAATTAAACAGATCTGATCAATAAATGAATTTGATTAGAACTTGTCTTTCTTTTTTTTACGGATGAATTGATTTTCTAGATCACTTATATGTTTTGTGTAGTTTTATATATTTTTTACAGATCTTTATATTAGACATAAGGATCTTTATTTTTTCATTTGAGAGATATGAATAAAATTATTTTATTCTATTTAATTCCTCAAATTTTTGCTTAGGGTCAATCATCCGATGGAAAAAAAATAGTGTGTCAAATTATTAAAAATAATAGGTCATGGCCAACTCAAAATTGTTCTTCATCTGATTATTTTTTTAGTTTACTTTGTTCATATGATATCAAACTATTAAATTCCTTTTCTTTTATTTATCACAACTAATAAAATAAAAACTAAAATATTTTTTATTTTTTTTATTTTTATGTATATATTCTTGTTAGATAATTTAGGCTATCGATCTAATTCAAGTTTGGCCAAAATTCTAGATATACAACTTGGATCACGCCAAAAATGATCTATAAATGAATATAAATCAAATTCAATATGTTTAAATCTGGACAGGTTAGATTAATTTTAATATTAATGAAGTGACAAAAAAAACACACTCCTATACACTCCTGAAGTGAGGAACTTTGCCTCTTACTCCATGTGTATTAATTAATTTTTTTAAATCAGTTTTATAAAAACATTTTTATAGGTAACTCTCTAATTTCAATTCTCCATATAACATATTTTAAATCACTAAATCAAATATTATTTTGTGTGTCCTATACATATTTTTATTTAAGACCATAAGATTTTAAAAATATTTTTAAAAAGAAAACTCATGTCAATTCAAAATAAAACAAATAAAACAAATAAATCAAATCAAAGAAAATATTAAAGTTTGAGTCAAAACTCAAAATTTAAAAGAGTGACTCTTTTTTCCCAAATAATTTTGACACATGAAGTCCACTTATTCACACAAGAGCTCAATGAATGATGGGAGTAAATAGAGAAAATGATCAAAATTGTCCTTCATATATGAGGGTTGCTTTATGTTGATCCTTAATATATTTCACATGATCCATATGGTCCTTACTATATTATAAAAGAGGATCATTTTGGTCCTTAGCCCTAAAAATTAACTGAAAACATAAAAAATGTTAAACTTAACTGTGGGTCCCACAGTTGGGAGCCTTCTTCCTCCATCTTTCTTGCAGAGTTCTTCTCCTTCATTTTTTTTTTCATTTCTTCTACAACTTGTGCTGCCAAAATCTTCTCATGCACAGAAAAGTTTCTTCAAATTTCAAAAGAATATTTGTAAGATATTTATTTTCTACATCTATCTGTTCAATTTTTACCCTTTAATTTTAAAAATAGAATTAAAAAATGGCTTGAAAAAATTAGTAATTTTGAAAAGAATAAAACAAAAGAAAGCTATATCCTCCCCATAAATCACTTCGACAAGAAAGAATAACTAGTTACAATTTTAAAAGAGATAATTTATGGTGATCTCCTGGAAGGAGAAATTGAGTCTTTAATTTGATTTACTTAGTTTACATTTGTTTTAATGATTTTGGCTCTCTTATTCTTCTTTATGAATGATAATGGAAGCTTTTGAAAATTTTGTTTAGATGGAGATGAGAAATAGGTGTAGTGTATATTATTTTTCTTATGAGGATATAGAGCATGACCTCAAATGGCAAAAGAAAGAAGTTGAGGAGAAGGGTTTATGGTGGTGATGGTGAAAGAAAGCAAATTTGTTAAATCTATCATGCTTTTTTTTTCTTGATTAGTTTTAGGGTTAAAGGACTAAAATGATCATCTTTTCATATACATTAAGGACCATATGGATCATATGAAATATATTAAGGATCAACATAAAGCAACTTTCATACATAAAGGACCATTTTGATCATTTTCTCGAGTAAATATGCCACAATTCGTTAATTTCAAGGCCGTGAATAGACACAAAAGTATAATGCATGATATAATTAACAAATTTAAAATAGTAGATGGACAAATTTCGTAAATTCAGACTATTTACCTTTTACAGTGGGTTTAGTAGAAAATATATTTTTTCTTCCATATTTAGTTGGATAAAAGTTTTCAAAAATAATATTTTCTTCTTCATAAAATGACATTTTATATTTATTGTATATTGCCACCCAACACCTCCAACCCCTACGTCTTGACCATTCCACTCACCTCAATAGGTTTTTTTTTTCTAGACTACATATAAAGATGAACTTGATATAATATATATTATTTTAAAACTTATTTACCAAATGCAGATTACATACAAGAAACCAACTTATTTTATAACTGTCTACTTAAAATTTTCAGGTTGGACAAATACATCTATAATTACTTGATTACGAAGGGGTTGCATACGTTTGCTGAGATTTTTGCCGTTGAAGCTCATGTTGTAAATCCCAGAAATGTTGGTAAGTTATTTTTTAAAATTTTTAACTTATGGCTGATTTGAACTCATTATAATAATTTTAAAAGCTGTTTCAACGTGACATATAATTTATTTGTAGACATGATATTAGTTATTGATACTCGGGTTAGGATAGGTTGTTGCTTAGGTCATATTTCTTGGGCTACGGCCTTTTGTGGACTTTCGGAGGGTGAGTGTAGGTGTCACACCAAAACTGAATACTATCAAACTAGAACATCGTTCCTCGAAAAAGGAGCATACCAACTCTCAACTAAATTTGGGCTCCTACTTCAATTGGCAATCAAAGCCTCTACCTGCACCTGCAGCATAAGGCGGAGCTAGGTGGGGTTCATGGGTTCGGACGAATTCACTAGCTTTTTCGTAAACCCTATATTTGTATTAAAAATTTTTAAAAAATTATGTATATTAACTTGTGAACCCTCAAACTTCTAATCTTGGCTCCGTCTCTGAGCATGAGTGCAACATCCACATGTAAATAGACATTAATTTGAATAACATATACAAGACTAAAAGTTGTAAACATAAGTATATTAGAGATACTGAACAAAAGTTAGGGATAGAAACAACCTGGAAGGTGAAATCTGAGAATGCAACTAAGTATATAGCATTTTCATGTGAATACAACATATACGAATCATATTGTCCTAATGGTAAATTGTACGACAATCTAGCCATAATGATTACCCTGCCATGTTGAGATGGCTGTCCCGAAGGTGTAATAACTGAATAGATTTCTGCTTAACTAACATATACATTGTGGTGGTATACTGAACTATAGTTGCAGTTGCTATTGTATCTACCCACCGATATAACTGCATTGATGATTTAAGATAAAGCCATACCAATTATCACATACCGAGCCAACCAAAATCTTATATAGTCTATCTAATAGATATAACACGTACACAAGATGGCTCTGAGACTGTGGTCTAAATAGGTATCTTCAAGTCTCCTGAACCAAAACACATTTAGACTGTAATTGTAAAGTACAATTACACATATTGAGAATTATACGATTGGATTTCCGTTATCAACTCATCATGTTGACAAACACATATACTTCTTAATTAATTGTTTGGTCTTACTCACATGAAAACATGGAAATCATATACACAACTACTTTATAATCATAACACATATATATAGAACCAGAGGCGAAACTAGGATTTAAAAATGATGGGTGCACCACCAATGCCTAATGAACATTAGTTCAAGCATGCCACCCAATGTCGATTTGTATGATAATTTTATTAAATCTAAAAATATTAAAACTAATATATATATTAAGGTATAAATATTAATTAAATGACTTTACTTAATAAAGTTTGCTTTGTGGAGTGGTTGTTTTGAACTTCACTTTGAATCATGAGGTCGCAAGTTCGAAACTAGCCATCTCTTTATTTTATATTTTTAAGCTTCACAGAAAAGAAAAAAAAAGTAGCATATGGGATTCGAAATCAGTTCCCCCGCCTTAAAGGTGTGCACACTTAAACCAACCAGCCCGAACCCTTTTTCGTGTCACTGGTTGACTCATAAATATATGACTATATATTTTATACATATACATATATATACATGATTTTTCTGAAGTTAACGGGTGTACATGCACCCTCACGGGAACATGTAGGTCTGCCTCTGTATAGAACCAACTCACACAGCCCACGATAAGGGGTTTGCAAACTCAATTTACAATTATGATAATAAGAACTTTTAACTTATCATAATAACTTGAAAACCCTGATGTACACATCCCTATACCTTTACTTTTTTTTGAAAAACCTGATGTACACACCCCAGAAGAGAAACACCAGACCAACTATGGAGAAAACTATGTAGAAATGACGAGCTCAATGTGTAGAACAACTTCCGTCAAAGACTTCATCCAACATCATGAACATATATGGAAAATTTTGAGGTTATACTCTGTTTTTTTCTCTTGGGACAAAGTTCTGAAACAGAAAAAATGATATTACCAAAAAATAAACAAGAATATATGCATGCCCACCAACCTAGGGCCTACTTCACGTGTCTACTTGTGTAGTATCACGTAAACAAAAAACTTTTTCTATTCTAAAGTGGCTTTGGCGAATGGTTTAGTGAGTTGGAAACTAGAATCATAGACCTTTAATTTGATAAATTGCAGGATCTCTAACTCTTTATAGATTAGGATATATGGTTATCCCAATCCAGATGACATACAAGATTATTTGTAATACTTTCCCAAAATAAAACCTTCCGATAGAATTTTCGTTACCAAGCTTCCTTTGGCCTTCAACTTTAATTGAATTCTTTAATCACATCTATATATCCATTTCATGATATGATCACCCATTTGGGATTTTTATTCTCCCAACAAGTCATCACCGAACAGTGTAAAGAGGGAAAAATAATTATTTCCAAAATATTTAGAAATATCATCCTTGAACGAGGGTTTACTTTATCCTAACACATTTCCAAAATTCATTAAATTAACTTAAGAGGATGATTAATTAAGCACATACCTCGATATCATATCAGTGTTGTAAAAAGGTGAAGATACTTCTCCCTCATTTCTTCTTCAACTTCCCAAGTCATTTCATCGACATTATTACTTTGCCATAATGCTTTAGTTGAGGAAACTTCTTTAGTTCTGAGCTTCCTAACATGACAATCAAGAATAATAAGAGGGACCTCTTATAAGTCATTTCTTAAGGTATCTGACATGATTTTTCTGAAGTTAACGGGTGTACATGCACCCTCACGGGAACATGTAGGTCTGCCTCTGTATAGAACCAACTCACACAGCCCACGATAAGGGGTTTGCAAACTCAATTTACAATTATGATAATAAGAACTTTTAACTTATCATAATAACTTGAAAACCCTGATGTACACATCCCTATACCTTTACTTTTTTTTGAAAAACCTGATGTACACACCCCAGAAGAGAAACACCAGACCAACTATGGAGAAAACTATGTAGAAATGACGAGCTCAATGTGTAGAACAACTTCCGTCAAAGACTTCATCCAACATCATGAACATATATGGAAAATTTTGAGGTTATACTCTGTTTTTTTCTCTTGGGACAAAGTTCTGAAACAGAAAAAATGATATTACCAAAAAATAAACAAGAATATATGCATGCCCACCAACCTAGGGCCTACTTCACGTGTCTACTTGTGTAGTATCACGTAAACAAAAAACTTTTTCTATTCTAAAGTGGCTTTGGCGAATGGTTTAGTGAGTTGGAAACTAGAATCATAGACCTTTAATTTGATAAATTGCAGGATCTCTAACTCTTTATAGATTAGGATATATGGTTATCCCAATCCAGATGACATACAAGATTATTTGTAATACTTTCCCAAAATAAAACCTTCCGATAGAATTTTCGTTACCAAGCTTCCTTTGGCCTTCAACTTTAATTGAATTCTTTAATCACATCTATATATCCATTTCATGATATGATCACCCATTTGGGATTTTTATTCTCCCAACAAGTCATCACCGAACAGTGTAAAGAGGGAAAAATAATTATTTCCAAAATATTTAGAAATATCATCCTTGAACGAGGGTTTACTTTATCCTAACACATTTCCAAAATTCATTAAATTAACTTAAGAGGATGATTAATTAAGCACATACCTCGATATCATATCAGTGTTGTAAAAAGGTGAAGATACTTCTCCCTCATTTCTTCTTCAACTTCCCAAGTCATTTCATCGACATTATTACTTTGCCATAATGCTTTAGTTGAGGAAACTTCTTTAGTTCTGAGCTTCCTAACATGACAATCAAGAATAATAAGAGGGACCTCTTATAAGTCATTTCTTAAGGTATCTGAACATCCTCAAGCGACATAATACGTCTCAAATATGCTATGCACTTACCTAACACCGATACTTGAAACACATGATGAAAAACTAGTAACTCTAACTCATAGGCCACCTTGCCAATCCTGGTAACAACTTTGTAAGGTCCAACTTATCTAGGGATAAACTTGGACTTCCTGCTAAAAACGTAACACCCTTCATTGGTGATACCTTCAGGAAGACCCAATCATCAACCCTAAGCTCTTGGGCTTGATAGCACACATCGACATAAGACTTCTGTGATGACCCGATCCCTTGAGTCATGATGGCAACTAATATAACCCACTTGAATGTAAGCCAACCTGTAACCCGGAATGACAAGTAATGAGTATAAGGGTAGAAATAAGTGGGAGTGATCATTTAGACAACAAAACAAGAAAAGAGTGGAAGTAAACCAAAACTATATACATAAAGATCCCTCCTAGAACCTAGAAGTCACAAGTACAGAGTTATTCTAACTTACAAGTCCCAAAAGTGGACCAAAAAGAAAGTTATCTCAAAATACAAAAGACTAGATATGCAATAGATAGAAAGAGACACTCAAGTCCAGGATGCCAAGTGCTCACCCTCGCCTCCGATCCAAAAGTAGTTGTTGGCACGAACGATCACCACTGGTAGCTAGTACTGGACCTGCATCACGAAACATATGCACAGTGTAGCATGAGTACCAAAACAAAGGTACTCAGTTGGCATCATACGCCGATTGAGCAAAAAAGGTAAACACAATATGGAAAGATAGAATTTAGACACAAACAAAGGTCCAAGCGGTATTTAAAAGAACCACACAACCGTACCAAAAGTAAAAATAAGTACAACTACACTAAACCTAACTTGACCCCCATAAGCCTAGAAGGTGCACTCATGCGCAAGTTTAAATAAAACACGCATGCACCCCCATAAGCCTGACATGTACTCAGAATGGTTAAAACTACAAGAGTGAAATGCCACTAGTCCAGATCCAATAAGTGTAAGTCGGGCCTCGAACCCCAAGTGATGGCCTTTAACCAGAGGTAATGATCTCGAACCATAAACATCGGCCTCAAATCGGAAGTAACAACCGCTTATCATAATCATCTGCTTCGAATTGGAGCTAACAACCTCGAATCGGAAGTAAGAAATAATGGGGCCAACCAGTAAACTCCTAGGGGCTTCAGCCGCCAAACTACTAAGAGTATAATTGGGGGAATATCGACTCTGAAAATGATTGCATCACAATCAAATAAAAGTACCACTGTGGAGCGAGGTCCAGTCACAAGAAATCTAGACCAGACTACAAGCCTGAACCACTCTAATCCTAAATCGCCTAGAGAAGCACGAAACCTCCAATATCACAATGGGGCAGCAAAAATAGGGAGAGTGAATAGATGATCGGCAAAGCTGAGTCACCACCTAAACTAAGGCTCATTACATCAAACTAAAGTCTGCTACTCTATTCTACAAGGAACTAATCCGCCTGAATCGATGTCAGAGACGAAATAAGGCCTACAGGCCACAAGTATCGCAAGTCTAAAGCAAACACTAGTTTAATCTTAGACTAGGGCTAATTATGCTCAAATATATCATATGAAAACATACAAGTTTATTCACAAGATAGTAGTAAGCATGTAACCCCGACTAACATGGTACTACACCTGAAATAATGTCGATCAAGTCTAAAACATGGTACCCAAGAACGGAAATAGAAACAACAGGTATCCACCCCCCAATTCAACCTAATTAAAATTAATTTACACATTCAAGCTCAATCTGAGAGAAGGAAAGTTGTAGCCTACCTTTAGGATGACCGCATGCGCTCCCAAATCACTGTTCTAAAGCTTTTCCCTTCTAAATAACCTCATAACACTGTCATGCTATCAAAAATAGGATCACAACGTTAAAACAGTCATTTCAAACACCAAAATCACAAAAATTAGAAATAGACCAATTTTGGAGTCAAATAGGAATCATGAGACCTAAGCCAGAATTTCTGAATTGACTTCATCAAAATGGAACACAATTCGGGCTCGGAACAGCAAGAACAACAACATACAATAATTTCTACAAATTAAGAACTAGGACCAAGCTTAAGCAGTCCAAAAAATTACCTCGAATAAAGGCCCTCAACATTTTCGATTAGTCCATAGCGTAGCCCCAAACTCCACGAACACACCATACTTGAATCACCCAAAATGAAGAAAAAATGTGAGAAACAATTACACTTAAATATATGAACTCAATGTTGATCGGGTTCTGGTCTTTATATAAAAGAACAGAAGAAGCTCCTTATCGCGATTGCGAAAATAAGGGTCACGATCGCAGCTCACTTAAAACCTAACCATTGCGATCCCAGAGGTCAGACCTTGAAGTAGCGACAACCAAGGAAGGTCAACTCAGTCAATGATTCATTGCAATCGCGGGCCAAAGGCCATGTACTTGCGATGAACAAGGGGACAGACCCTCATGAACGTGACCAAGGGACCCATGAATGTGAAGGGTAAATCTCCCTACACCAGTTGATGCACATCAGCTGGTTTTGGCAAGCTACAAATCTTCGATAGGGTGTTTCGAATTCGTTTAGAACTATGTCCATTCAAAGAAATATGCTACATTACAAAATTTGATATTCCAGACTCAACGGAGACATCAAAATTTCCAAACGAGTTCGTCTCGACAAAAAGTGGTTCCCACACCCAAACTCTATTTTAAGTCAAAGTCCACAAGGGGGCTCGGGATCTACACGAAGGGTCATTATAGACCAAACTTGAAATTCCGGAGATAACCGCATTGATGGAATTCTCATTCGAGTACGTGTATATTGACCAAGGTCAAACTTACGCCTTAACTTGAAAGTTAAAATGCCTAATCTTACAAACTCGCATCGAAAGCCTCGGGAGTCGTACTGACCATGCTACTAGCCTAAAATGACCCTTCAAGAGCTAATGGAATTAGTTTCTAAGGTCATCTTCCTGAACTTTTGATCGAGAACAACCGTTCAAGGTTCAAAAGTTTCAAAACACATAAATTCACACTAAACCCAAACGAACGACTAGATGACTGAATTGTCAGTCCCATGGTCACTATAGGAAATCTCTAAACGTTGAACAAAAGGTATAAACACATAAATGACCTTGAGGGTCATTACAACTTCTATTGGCTCTATGTAGTCTGAAGCCTACCTTTAATAAGATTCACTTTAACGTACAACTTATGCCTTTTGAGAGTTATATCACAACTCTTAGGTGACATGCATGTTCAACCTCTAATTGAAAAGTAAATCAAGATGTTGTCAATGAAGAGGATAAGAAACACATCAAGAAAGGGCCCAAACACCATGTTCATCAAATCCATAAAGGTTGTTGGGGGATGAATATTTCAAAATGAGATCACTAGAAACTCATAATGACTATATCGGGTCCTAAGAGTAGTCTTAGGGACATCAACCTACCTAACTCATAACTGGTGGTATCCAAACCTCAAATCAATTTTAATAAAGCATCTAACTCCCAGCAACTGCTCAAACCAATCATCAATTTTGGGTAGCAGATATGTATTCTTAATTTTCACTTTGTTAAGCTATCTATAGTCTATGAACATTCATAAAAATAGTCCTTCTTTCGCAAAAATAATATTGACGCACCACACAGCCATATGTTAGGCCATATAAAACCTTTGTCGAGTAGATCTTTCAACTACTCCTTCAACTTCTTAAGCTCAAGAGGAGCCATTCCGTAAGGACATATATATATTGAGTACATGGGAGTAAATCAATAGAAAAATCTATTTTCCTTTCAGGAGGGACTCTAGGTAGATTTTCTCGGAAGACTAATGGAAACTCATTTACGAGTGGAACCGATGAAAGCATCACAAGTTTGTTTTCCATGTCTTTAACCCCAACCAAATGATAAATACAACCTTCGAATATCGGCTTCTAGACTTAAGGTATGAAATAAATGTACCATTAGGCATAACAACATTACCCTTCCATTCCAAGACTGGCTCGTCTAGAAAGTGAAATCTCGTAATCTTGGCTTGATAATCAACATTAGCATAACATGCTTCTAGATAATCCATGCCCATAAAGCATAAAAAATAACCTTTTCCAGATCATCTAGGGTAGATCTATCACTTGCCAACACTCCACAGTTTTGATAAACCCTTCTAGTTGCTAACACAGACTCACCAATTATCATAGAACCAACAAATAGTTTAAATAATAATTTAGGAACTATTTCAAACTAGCTTGCAACCAATGAAGTAACACTAGTGAGGGTAGAGCAGAGATCAAGCAAAGCATATATGGTACGAGAATGAATAATCAATGTACCTATGATAACGTGAGGTGATGCCTCTATGTCTTTGAGACAACCTAATGTAGAAAATTGGCTCTACACATCTCCTGAACAAGATGCCTTTATCCCTACCAAAACCTAAAGTAGTCTGAGGATCGAGTCTCTAAGGGTGAACTAGAGGTTACGAAGACACTGACAATCCTATTCTCTAAATTCTATGACCACTCTGTATGCTCGAATACTAGTACCTAATATTCCCTAATTGTCTACAATTGTAACTTACATCTGCCCCTGAAGACATGGTCTAGAATGTGCCCTTTCGCAAATGTGAGAAATGCAGAGCTCAAGCCTTTGAAAGGTCCCGTGGTAAGCACTAATCTAGAAGGGGCCCTGATAATTGTTGCTATTTAGTTGGAGGTGAATTAGTTCATACCATAATATACCTACATTACATAGCCTGAATACTACTAATTCCTCTCCCTTTGTAATTGTATCCCACATCACCTTCAAACTCTATAACTTTGATCAACAAAGTTGTAGGGGTCTTAATTTAGATTAGATCCAGACAAAATAGGAGAAATCAAGCTAAAAATTCATAGGCTTTGGAGCTCTTGAATGCATGACCTCTAGCCCTTTCTACTGCTTTCAATTGTCCTGCTTGGCCAGCATCTATATGGGCCATCAGATGAATAGCTCTCTTAATGAGCTATCCTTCCTCCAAAAGGTGTAATAGGTACCAGAGGGTCGACAACTCTGTCACCCTCATGTGCAATTGGGGCTGGTGGAATTAGTTGTATGTCCACAACAACTCTAGTTAGAGCTATAGGGGCTATAATACCTGGACTAATAGATTCATTATGAGTCTCTAACCTATCTCCCCATTCATTAGAAGGGAGAAACATACCCACTCCTCTAGTCATGAAGATCAAGTGAGTAGCCATCAACCTCATCACATACATATTCTAAAATAATAGCTTGCTTTAGATATCATTTAACCTTATGACTTTGCTTTTAGCACGAACTATCAATGAAAGATGTGAAACAAATCCTAAGTCCTGATTATAAGTATGGTTCACAATATACCAATAAGCATTACTTTAATAGACATGGCTTTATGGACTTCTTGGGATACAACTTTACTAAGATACCAAGTTCGTCAAGCCCCAAAACTGAGAAGGCGCAATTTTCCTTGATAGTAATTGAATCGAGAAGTCGATTATCTAATACTGAAATAGTAGCACTTAGGCCGACAAAGCCACTTGTCACAACAATCTGAAATGATAAGGTCGCAACATAATAAAATTTGAAAACATAAGGCCAACTAGGACATAATACAACTAAGTTGAGCAACAAAAAACCGCCAAGGGCATAAATCTCAATTGAACTAAACAACACAAACACATCCAAAAAAGCCTCTAAAGAATAAAAAGACTGTGTGCATAGGATAAAGCCTTGGCCAACCCATACCGTACATCAAAACTCAATATTATCAAACTAGAATATGGCTCCTTGAAGAAGAATGCATACCAACTTAGCTAAATTAGGACTCCTACTTCAATTGGGGATCAGAGCAACACGAATACAACGTCCTTAGGAAAAGAGACATTAGTATGAATGACATGTACTGGTATATAAGGCTGATAGTTGTAAACGTAAGTACATCAAAGATACAAAACTAGAGCTAGGGATAGAAACAACCTAATACTCCAAAAGATGAAATATGATAACTTAAGATTTCCATGTGAATACAACCAAGTAAGAACATAAATAAATCATATTGCCATAATGGTACACTAAACGATAATCTAGCCATAATGAGTACCATACCTTGTTGCGATGGCCATCTGTGATGTGTATTTATTGAATAGGCATCTGCCTACCTAATATATCCACTCTTGTGATGTATTGAACTATAGTTGTAGTTGGTACTCTATCTTCCCACTTATATTACTGCATTGATGATGAAACGTAAATCCATAACCATTATCGCACATGGAGCTGCCTGGGATTATATTGAATCTATCTAATATATATATGGCACATATAAAAGATGACTCTGAGATTGTAACCTAAATAGGACTTTTCAAGACTCATCAACTGCAAATATGTACATAAAACATATATAGCTTTCAAACATCATATAATCAATGCTTACTCAATAACTTAAACAACCTTCAGAAGGTTTAAATGACACAAGGACTCTAGTAGGCTTATAAATGATGTTTTAAAGATATTTTTGTCGCCTTAGCATATAGATTGAACGGGGAACAAGTATTTCTATTTATTTACAATTCACTAACATTTTGAATCTTCATATATACATATATATCTTTCCCATAAAGTGTTTTCTTTACAAATATTGAAAAATATACAATTGGATTTCCGTTATCAACTCATCATATAGATGAACACAAATAGTTCTTAATTTTCTTGCCTTACTCACATGAACATATGAAACTCATATACACAACTACTTCATAATCATTACACAAACGGAAAAAACTTACACTGCCCATGATAAGGGGTCTCCAAACTCAATTTACAACTATGACAACAATTATATATATCGTCATTCACATCGCATTCATATGTCTTTAATATTTCAATAACTATAGACTGTCACCATGTATTTCCACCCTTTAGACAAAACCATATCATGCCTCAATATGAGTTTATAAGGTTGGAGTAGTACCCCTATCAACGATATAGATTCGTGCTTGAAAATTCAAGAAAGGGGCACCTTTACATACTTCATAGATATTACTCGATAGCTTGAATTTAGTTTATTTATAACTTCATTAAGATAGTGTAACATATAAAAAAGAATCATACAACCCATAGCCATCTAAAATCTTCCACAATCTAAACAAAATGGAAGAATTTCCAAAATCAATAGTCGTCATTCAATAATAACATATAACTTCAAATTAACTATGGAGTGAGGTTAAGAACTATATTACCTTGTCAAAATAACTTATAGATTCATCCCTAAACCTTTAATTTATTCAAAACCATGTTTTACACACCTTGGAAGAGAAACACTAAACCAAATATGGACAAACTATTCCAAAACGATGAGTTCAACGTGTAGAACAACTTCCATTAAGGACTTAATCCAAGATCATGAACATATAGGGAAAAATTTGAGGTTATTCTTTATTTTTTTAAATCTTGGGACTAAGTTTGAAAAACAAATAAATAAAATTCCCAAAAGAGAAACCAAAATATATATACATCTCCACCGACCTAGGGCCCACTTCACATGTATGCTTGTGCAGTTTCACAAAAAAGAAAATATCATTCTACTTTGAAGTTGTATTGGAGAATGGTCTAATGCGTTAGAAACTAGACTCATACAAATTTAATTTTATATGTTGTAGACCCTCTAACTCTTTATATATCGGGATATATGATCATCCTAAGTCAGACTACATCTAAAATTATTTGAAATACTTCCTCGAAATAAAACCTTCAAATAGAATTTTGTTTCCAAACTCCCTTTAGCCTAAAACTTTAAAGGTAGTGTAATACCAAAGAGATTTATAGTAGGTTTAGTATTTTATGATATACATTTATAGAATTTAGTTAAGAAAATTTTAAAAGATGGTCTAAAAACTAAACACTGACATATAAAATAGATTGGATGGAATTGTAGCTAATGACATTCTTTAAAATTTCTAGTGCACCTATATATTTCAAGTGAATTGTTTTTTCTCTAATGTGCTTATTGTGTTTCTGAAATTGTATGAATTGTTTATCTATATTTTGGAGTGATGTGTACAACGTAGTGACTGATCATTTGTGGTAATGTGGTAATGTGCTAATGTAATTATTTGTTTTAGTTATCGAAACTCCAGAGGGATTTCTAATGGAATGGTGGGATGGTTTGTATGATATGTACAACATTTATCAAGCTGAGAAGGCCCAAGGATCCTTTGTTGAGGTGTTACCTAAACCTTTCAAAGCTAAATTCATCTTTTCCAGAGATTATTTTAATCTCTTGATGCATCATTCTTTAAAATTCTCAGGCTGCAGAGGCTACTCACAATGAGGTATATCATCTCCCTTCTGATATATCAACCTCTTCTCCTGTGGTGCTGGCCTTCCACCCGACGACACCTGAGGGTGAACTGATGTTTGATTTAAGGTTTGTTTTTAAATGGATTGTTCAAGTTAGAGGTTGTAACATGTTATGGTTTTTTGATGATGTGGACCAACATTTCTGCACTTGATGAATTTTATAGAGTTCTGTTCACTTAACTTAATGTTATAACAATTTTGCATTTTTTCTTGAACAAATTCATGTTTTCATTGGGTTTTATGCAATGCAATTACAACAAACAACAATAATATACTCAATGAAATTTCACAAGCAGGGTATGGGGAGGGAAGAGTGTAAGAAGACCATACCCCTACCTCATAGAGGTAAAAAGTCTATTTATGGAGGACCTTCAATTCGAGTACAACATATAAAAATAGGAATGAAAAATAAAAATCAGTAGTGGAGAAACAAAGTAACTAATAAGGAAATAGTAACAACCACAAAATATTCTAATAACGAAAATACAATCAACAACCGGTGATGGTGGAATCAAAAACAAGACATTATAAGAATACTATTAAACACTTATAAATTAAGACAACGTCCCATACCTATGAATCTTCTACCCTAATACGTGACCTCCACACCCTCTTATCTAATGTCCAAGGCCGACTCAACAAGATTAGGGGCCTAAAGCCAAATCTAAAAGAGGGGGCCCTAATATATTTTTAATTTTTTTTTAAAAAAAAGGTATCATATATACTTTTCTAGCATTTTTAGATGCAAAGTTATTAATTATTGTTTTATAATCAATTTGTTTTAGTAATTCCTTTTCAATCATATATATATATAAGAGAACCTTATGCCCGCCTATATGGCGCCACCACAAACCCATAATTCACTTTTAATTTATTTATTTCCAAAACTAGTCTTCCCCTTTCATGAAAAATTGTGACATTTATGAAAAGTTGACTTTTATGAAAAGTTGCAACTTTAATGAAGAGTTGCAACTTTTATGAAAAGTTGTGACTTTAACGAAGAGTTGCTAGTTTAATGAAGAGTTGCGACTTTTATGAAATGTTGTGACATTTCTAAAGGGTTGCAACTTTTCCAAATAGTTGTAACTTTCCAATAAGGTACAATAAATATTTGTTCACATTATCATTTGTTGTTTATAAATATAGGGATTTCCTCTCATTTCAAAACAACGAAAATTCTAAACCTCTTCTTCATCTTCTTCTTCTTTTTCACAATTAAATATTTGTGTACTTTATCCATGTTGAGTAGTTCAGTGACACCATTGCTTATGTTACAAATCCGGGTATGTATTTTTACAATCATTAATTTATGCTTATGTTATTAAGGATAAATGATAAGATGTAATAATCTTCATTTTCCTTTACATTATTAATTTTTTATGTAAGATTATATAGTATTTTAGTTTTAGTTACTGATAGGTTTTTAAGTATTATTTTATATATTTCGTGATATTCAATTTCCGCGCGAAGCGCGGGTAATTTTACTAGTTGATAATATAGTTAATCCATTTAATCTCTCTTGAGACATTGTTGATCTTAGATAAGATTTTATTAATTTTAGTTTCGAAAAACTTCTTTCGGCAGAGGCAACAGTTACAAGAATGGTTAACATTATTCTATAAATAATACTTTTTTTATTCAGAATTTTTATTATTTGTTAAAAATCTATCAAGGGCTCCTTTTTGGAATTTATTTAATCAATTCTTCAAGTTTTCTCTTTTTCTCTCTTTTTGTCAATTCGAAATCAGATTTTCTAGTTGACATATTTAAATTGAATAATTTTAATAATAACTAAAACAAGAATATATATACTTATGAACTAAGAATATCAACAATAGCATATTTTGAAGAAAAACTATAAAATAAAGTTAGAATAATAAAACCTGGCTCATGAATTTGATAAGTTGGTAAAACAATATCGAAATAGTGTTGTGTTCCTTCAATATAATGATTGCTTGTTGCACATCTTGAGATTTTGAAGAAGACATCAAAAAACAATTTTTGTTCTTTCGTAACTTGTAAGCAACAGTAAAACAAAAAAAAATTGCAGGAGAGAATTTAATAATTAGAAATAAAAAATAATAAAGTAGAGAATAAAAAATTATGAGTATAAGGTAAATAATAATATAAGATCAAACTTTTAGGAGATAAATAAGAAAACACAATTTCCCACTTAAAGGAAATTATTCCCAAAAAATGTTTCATTCCCTTAAAAAAGTGGAAAAACTAACGGTCATTTTTTATACTTCTTACTTATTTTTAATTAAAAAAATTAAAAGTACATATAATTTTTTTAATAATATATATAAGTTTTTTTTAAAAAAAAATGGGGCCCCCAAAAATATGGTGCCCTAAGCGATGGCTTTAGTGGCTAAATGGTTAAGACGGCCCTGCTAATGTCATGGTCTTGATAATCTGGACCTAATCCATGTCTTTTTTAATCACCTCTCTCTAATACTTTTTTGGCCTACATCTACCTCTCCTTATATCCACTATATCCAATGTATTGTACCTCCTCACTAAGGCATCTTTGCATCTCTTCATCACGTGGACAAACTATCTTAGTATTGCTTCCCTCATGTTTCCCACCATAGAGGTCACTCCCATCTTGTCTTAGATATCCTCATTCCTAATCTTATATTTCTTAGTGCCCACACATCTAACTCAACATCCTCATTTCTGCAACTTGCATCTTCTAAACATAAGATTTCTTGACTTGTCAAACTTCACCCTATACAACAACATCGATCTAACTGCTACTTAGTATAACTTACTTTTCAGTTTGCATGGTACCTTCTTATAATATATGAGAACAGAGGCAAGCCTCTTTTTTCGTACATACTGCACCACTACGATTTGTGACATCATTGTTGATGTCTCCATTTCCCTTTATTACTGACCCTAGATATTTTAACCTATCCCTCTTGATGATAGACTAGATGTCAAACCTCACTTCCTACCTATCTACCTCGTGCACTATATTATAGAATTTGCATTCCAAATATTCCATTTTGGTCCATCTCAACATGAATTCTTTAGACTTCACAGTTTGTCGCATGTGGCATCCCTAAATAGCATAAACCATTAAACATCATCATGAATACGTCATCAAGTCATCCATCACCAAGGGAAACCAAAATAGGATAAGAACTGATCTCTAATGCAACCCCATCTCAATTGAAAAGTGTTGCTAGTGTTGGATCCGTCATTCATGTCCTCTATTGCCCTAATGTAAACCATCGGTATGATTTTAGCCTCCATACATCTCAAAAGAACTTCCAATAGAAATTTGTCGTATGACTTTATAAGGTCAATGAACAACATATGTAAGTACTTCTTCATTTCCCTATAATTCTCCATTAGTCTCCTCGCCAAATGGTTGCCTTCTTTAGTCGATCCCCCTAAAATGAATCCGTATTTATTCACAAAAATGGACACACCCCTTCTAGATCTCATCTTCACCACCCTCTCGGCCTCTCCCAAAATTTGACAGTGTGCCTTAGCAACATGATGCCTCTATAATTGTTATAGTTTTGGATATTACCCTTGTTTTTATACAATGGGACCATTGTGCTAAACCTCCATTCTTAGGGAACTTTTGTCATCTTAAAAATGACATTAAACAACCCAGCAAACAACCTATTTAACCACTGTATACCTTTTATGACTGTGCTCTTTCAAAATTCCACCGGAATCTCACATGGTCAAGTGGATCTTCCCCTAGTCATCCTATTAATAGCACACTTACACTCCTCTACTTTAATACACCTACAATATCCTAATTCTCAAACAATCTAGATTGCTACAAATTACCCAACATAATGTCTATGTCCCTTTCTTTGTTCAAGAGTTTGTGGAAGTATGCTTGCCATATTTTCCTAATGAGGGTCTCTTCCACCAACTTGTATTCCACATTGTTGATTCACTTCACTTTATCAATGTCTCGGTCCTTCCTCTCTCTTTACTTTAAAAGCATGTGCAGTATCTTCTCTCTACCTTATCCCCTAGTTCGACATACAAACGTTCTAAAGCTCCCATTTTTTATGTGTTAACTGCTTGAACTCTACTAATTTTACATAAGAAACCTTCTTCCTTTCCACTTTTCCTTGGACTTCTCAATTTTATCACTAATCCCCTTGATGACCACCAAAGTTACCCCTTGAAACTCCTAGCACCTCTCTAGCTTCTTTCGTAATGTAATTAGTTGAGTTTTCCCACATGTAATTTGCATTCCCACTCCTCCTCCAAGCCCCAATCATCAGTAACTTCTCCATCATCTCCTGAGAGAGGGCATGAGTCAAACTACCCAATTTAATTCTCGGTAAATCATACAAAGTCTTCTTCCTCCTCTTTCTCTTAATCTTCAGGTCATTCACCAAAAACTTATGTTGGATAAAAAGATTATCACTCGGATAATATTGCAGTCCTATGAAGGCCTCTATCACACTTCTTAAAGAGTAACTTATCTATCTAAGTTTTAGCCACCACACTATAAAAGGTAACCAATTGGTTCTCCTCCTTTGGAAAACAAGAGTTATCTATCACCAATGCAAAAGCTTTAGGGAAATCCAAAATTGATGCTCCACCTCAATTTCTATCCCCAAAACCAAAGCATCCATGTACATATAATACCAAAATTAATATTTCCCTAATGTGGCCATCAAAATCTATGTCGATGACTATCTTCTTGGTGCGTGGTATACCCCTTACTACCTTGTCCAATTCCTGCCAAAAGCGTTTCTCTATCCCTTAGTCTCCTAGACACAAGGTATATTAATCTTCCTTTTCTTTAGGATCTTCAATAGTTGTATGGTATTTCCCCATCAATTACCATATCTTCCAAGACCCTACATATAGCCTTAAATAACCCTTACTCCACTTACCATTCTTTTCCCTTATCCTCAGCCTCGTCTGAAGATATGACCCTAATCCAATACTGTTTACCAAAGACACTAAAGTAGATTCAAACTAAATAGGCAACAACCAAAGATAAGAGTAAGGAATTGTATAAAGTAAGCAAAAATCAATAAGTTAATAAAGAAGGAATTGATCAAAAATCTATTCTTGACGGTAAGCACAAATTAATAAGACATAGAGCATATATTGAGCAAAGCACTATTCTGAATTACCCTACTTGTAGGGCAGCACAACATAAATAGGCAACATAATATGTAAGTCCTTCTTCCTTTTCCTATTTTTCTCCATCAGTCTCCTCACCAAATGGATGGCTTTTATAGTCGATCACCCCATCATGAATCCAAATTTATTCACAAAAATGGAAACACCCCTTCTCACCCTAATCTTCACCACCTTCTCCCAAAATTTTGTAGAACCTTAGCAGCTTCATGCATGTGTAATTGTTATAGTATTGGATATTAACCTTCTTTTTACATAATGGTACCATTGTACTCAACCTCCATTCTTCAGGAACTTTTGTCATCTTAAAAATGACACTAAACAACCCAGTTAACCACTTTATACCTTTTATGTCTATGCTCTTCCGAAATTCCATCGACATCTCATCTGGTTAGATGGATCTTCCCCTAGTCATCTTATTAATAACATGCTTAAACTCTTATACTTTAATAAATCCATTGTATCCAAATTCTCAATGATCTTTAGAGTGCTCCAAATCACACAACATAATGTCTATGTCCCTTCTTTCGTTCAAGCGTTCGTGGAAGTATGTTTGTCGTCTTTACCTAATGAGGATCTCTTAAACCAACACTTTATCTTCATCATCGTTGATGCACCTGATCAAGGTCTCAGACATTCCTCTCTATCTTGCCTTTGCAAGCATGTACAATTTCTTCTCTCTAACTTATCCCCTAGTTAAGCATACAAACGTTCAAAAGTTTCCATTTTTGATGTTGTAACTATTAACATAGCCTCTGTCTTTGATGCCTTATACATTTTCCTTTTCAAACATTTACCCCCCTTATCATTGCACTATACCAATTTTACACAAGCAACCTTCTTTGTTTCTACTTTGCGTTGGACTTCTCCATTTTTATTACCAATACCCTCAGTCACCACCAAAGTTACCCCTTGAAACTCCTAGCACCTCTCTAGCTTCTTTCGTAATGTAATTTGTTGAGTTTTTCCACATGTACTTTGCATTCTCACTCCTCCCCCAAGCCCCAATCATCATTAACTTCTCTATCATCTCCTGAGAGGTCATGGGTCAAACTACAAATTTATTCCTCAATCGATCATACAAAGTCTTTTTCCTCCTCTTTCTCTTAATATTTGGGTCAATCACCAAAAAACTTATATTGGGTAGTAAGATTCTAACTCAAGATCATCTTGCAGTCCTATAAAAGCCTCTATCACTCTTCCTAAAGAGTAAATAATCTATCTAAGGTTTAGCCACCACACTATGGAAGGTAACCAATTGGTTCTCCTCCTTTGGAAAGCACGAGTAGCTATCATCAATGCAAAAGCTTTAGGGAAATCCAAAAGTGATGTTCCACGTCAATTTCTATCTCCAAAACCAAAGCCTCAATGCACATATATCACCAAAACTACTAGGCGTTGCTCCAATGTGGGGATTAAACTCACCACCAATGACTATATTCTCGGTGTGTAGTGTACCCCTTACTACCTTGTCCAACTCTTCCAAAAAATGTTTTTGATCTTCTAATCCAAGCCAACTTGAGGTGTGTAAGAACTTATAATGTCCAAACTATGCCTTTCAATGACTAGCTTAATTGTCAGCAACATCTCATTAGTCCTCATAACCTGCACCACTTGATCCCTTAAGTCCTCATCTACAAAAATACCTACTCCATTCCTATCCCTCGAGATTCCTGAGTACCACAACTTAAATCCATCAATATCTCATTCATTGGTACCTCCAATCTGGTCTCCTAGACACAAGGATTAATCTTCCTTTTCTTTAGGATCTTCACTAGTTGTATGGATTTCCCCATCAATTACCATATGTTCCAAGGCCCTACCTATAACCTTAAAGAAACCTTACCCCACTTACCACTTCTTTCCCTTACCATCGGTCTTTTCCGAAGATATGACCCTAATCCAATATCGTTCACCAAAGACACTAAAGTAGATACAAACAAAATAGGGAGCAACTAAAGTTAAGAGTCGGGAATTGTAAAAAGTAAGCAAAAATCAACAAGTTAATAAAGAAGGAATTTCTCAAAAATCTATTCCTGACGGTATGCACAAATTAATAAGACATATAGCATAAATTGAGGAAAACTCTATTCCGAATTATCCTACTTGTAGGGCAGCAAGGCAGAAATAGGTAACATGAATTATAAAAAACAATAACCACACAGAACAAGAGAAAAAATAAACCATAAGAAATATTTATGGAAATAACTACTAAAAATAAAAAAATAAAGAGAAAAGGAGTAAAAATAGAACCTAGCTGGTAGCGCGACGAAGAAACTTAATTGGGGATATTGTCAATGTTGGCTAGAACTTGTTAGAAATCACTAAAAGTTTCTGGTCCTTTCTGGAGAAATCTGAGGCTTACATGGATGCCCATACTTTCTACCTAGGATAGTGGTTGTGTTGGTTGGGTCTGGCTGGAAAGGGTGTAAGGCAGAGGAAAAGAACGAGAAAACTGCAAGTATGAATGGTATAGTTGAAATGGGAGAAGGATTCAAGAAGATAGAAAGATGTCACTTATTTGTTGGAGGGCTGAAAAGGGAGAGTGCATACAAAAGAGGGCCATAGAGAGAGGGAAAGCATAAAGTAAAGTGTCATGGTCTTTTATGTAAAGCAATTATGACTGTGAAGTCTCTTGAATTTATCCAATTATCTCTGTTATTTTTCTTGATGACTAGTTATTCCTTAGATAACAGTTATTACATAATATAAGCATCAGTTTGGTTGTTGAAGTTGCTAAGTAAGAAGATCTCTAACTTTGTTTATGTTCATGTATCATCCAGCCGCTCAATGGATAAAGCTCCAAATATGCCTCAACAATTGGAGAAGATTTTAAATATGCCTCAACAATTGGAGAGGATTCCAAATATGCCTCAACAGTTGGAGATGATTCCAAATATGCCTCAACAGTTAGGGAAGATTCTAAATATGCCTCAACAGTTGGAGATGAAGATGATTCTAAATATGCCTCAACAGTTGGAGATGAAGATGATTCTAAATATGCCTCAACAGTTGGAGATGAAGATGATTCTAAATATGCCTCAACAGTTGGAGATGAAGATGATTCTAAATATGCCTCAACAGTTGGAGATGAAGATGATTCTAAATATGCCTCAACAGTTGGAGATGAAGATGATTCTAAATATGCCTCAACAGTTGGAGATGAAGATGATTCTAAATATGCCTCAACAGTTGGAGATGAAGATGATTCTAAATATGCCTCAACAGTTGGAGATGAAGATGATTCTAAATATGCCTCAACAGTTGGAGATGATTCCAAATATGCCTCAACAGTTGGAGATGATTCCAAATATGCCTCAACAGTTGGATATGATTCCAAATATGCCTCAACAGTTGGAGAAAGCTCCAAATATGCCTCAACAATTGGAGAAGATTCTAAATATGCCTCAACAATTGGAGATGATTCCAAATATGCCTCAACAGTTGGAGATGATTCCAAATATGCCTCAACAGTTGGGGAAGATTCTAAATATGCCTCAACAGTTGGGGATGATTCCAAATATGCCTCAACAGTTGGAGATGATTCCAAATATGCCTCAACAGTTGGAGAAGATTCCAAATATGCCTCAACAGGTTGAGAAGATTCTAAATATGCCTGGACAGTTGGAGATGATTCCAAACATGCCTCGACAGTTGGAGAAGATTCCAAATATGCCTCACCAGGTGGAGAAGATTCTAAATATGCCTCAACAGTTGGAGAAGATTCCAAATATGCCTCAACAGTTGGAGAAGATTCTAAATATACCTCAACAGTTGGAGATGATTCTAAATATGCCTCAACAGTTGAAGAAGATTCCAAATATGCTTCAACAGTTGGAGAAGATTCTAAATATGCCGCAACAGTTGGAGATGATTCCAAATATGCCTCAACAGTTGGAGATGATTCGAAATATGTCTCAACAGTTGGAGATGAATCCAAATATGCCTCAACAGTTGGAGAAGATTCCAAATATGCCTCAACAGTTGGAGATGATTCCAAATATGTCTCAGCAGTTGGAGATGATTCCAAATATGCCTCAACAGTTGGAGATGATTCCAAATATGCCTCAACAGTTGGAGATGATTCCAAATATGCCTCAACAGTTGGAGATGATTCCAAATATGCCTCAACAGTTGGAGATGATTCCAAATATGCCTCAACAGTTGGAGATGATTCCAAATATGCCTCAACAGTTGGAGATGATTCCAAATATGCCTCAACAGTTGGAGATGATTCCAAATATGCCTCAACAGTTGGAGATGATTCCAAATATGCCTCAACAGTTGGAGATGATTCCAAATATGCCTCAACAGTTGGAGATGATTCCAAATATGCCTCAACAGTTGGAGATGATTCCAAATATGCCTCAACAGTTGGAGATGATTCCAAATATGCCTCAACAGTTGGAGATGATTCCAAATATGCCTCAACAGTTGGAGATGATTCCAAATATGCCTCAACAGTTGGAGATGATTCCAAATATGCCTCAACAGTTGGAGATGATTCCAAATATGCCTCAACAGTTGGAGATGATTCCAAATATGCCTCAACAGTTGGAGATGATTCCAAATATGCCTCAACAGTTGGAGATGATTCCAAATATGCCTCAACAGTTGGAGATGATTCCAAATATGCCTCAACAGTTGGAGAAGATTCCAAATATGCCTCAACAGTTGAACGACAAAGTATGTTTAAATTTACAAGACGACAACAATTATTTTTAAATTTGTGACATAACTGACAAGGTTTTATCCTTCCAGGATGAGCAAGAGATTTGCTCTAAACGAACTATGCATTTGGAACCAAATCCTGGTGCCCTTAAAAAGATTAAGCTTCTTCATGGTCCTGAGCCTTCTTAAGCAGGTTCGTTGTATTGGTATCAAATACTTTGCTTTTATGTTTTAGAATCTGTTGTCTTTGATCTTCATAACACATGTGACCTCACCTAAGTAGTGTATACTCAAATATGTTGACTTAACATGAATTAAGATGATATCCAAATTATGCAAGAAAAGTTCCTTGTTAGAGGAATTAGTTGCATACTATTCAAAATGAGCTTAATCATGAACATCAAATATTGTATTTGGATTACGTTTCATCCTCATTCATGTCCATTTCTAAGGATATGTAATATTTACGCTAAGATGGGGTTAAATTTGGAGTATACAAGAAATCTCGATACATAATTGAATGTATCTTTAGCCTAGATTATTTGGTCATCACAAAAGTGAATAAATTCTTTTTTTTAACTCATAAAGAAGGCATTCTGAACCAAAATACTAATGTCAACTTTTTTTAGCGTGTGAAAATGTTATGGATGATCCATTTGTCTATTATTAGCTCATGAAGAACAATTAAATCGTTTTATATTTTAGTAGAAAGTCATATCATCAGATTATCTGTTAATCTTCCTATCAGGCTGTTCCATCGGCTTCGACTCTGGGCCGCAACAAACTCCCTAATCTAATCAAGATCTCGTGGTTTTCCGATGTTCCTCTTGGTATGGATATTAAGAAGGGGATAGCTTGAGAAAGATCACAATTCAATAGCTGTTATACAATATATGTAGGCTATAGCCATGGATGAAAATAGATGAATTTGGTTACTTCGTCATCATTTTATAATTTTTTAACATTTTCTAATCCAGGTTGTGCTCATGAGTACTCAATAATGAGTAGAATAAAATTAGATGTTTTTGCTTGCTACCAATTTACTAATAAACATGGAAAAAAATCAATACATATATTTAGGAGAAATAGTTCTTCAAGGAATATCTCTTTACCTTTCCTAGAAGTAGGAAAGATGACAGTATTGTAGTGCATAAGTTAAAGTACAGTTGCCTAGATGGTGAATTTTAAGCTGCTAACACCTTTATATGCAGCATAGAGGGTTTAGGTTTCAACATTGAAGAGAATATAATGTCGACAAGTTCATGCGCATAGGGATGGCAAGGGGGTGGTGCAGGGCGGAGGCGGGGCGGGTTGAGTTTAACCCGCAAAAATTTTAAGCCGCCCCGCTCCGCCCGGCATAAAAATTCTTTTCATTTTCAACCCGCCTCGCATGAATTGCTTAATATTTTCCTTTTCTAGGTAAGTTTGATACTAAAAATAAAATTCATAAAAATAAATTTATTTTTTAATCAAGTTATATTTATTTAGTAGACTTAAAATATATATTTTTAGAGGTCAATTGGGAAGCATGTAAGAAATTGTATTAGTTTTGATTGTACCATTTTCATATACTATCTTGAATATTTTAGTAACTTTAAAGAAATATATTAGTAGATAATGTTCTATCACTCTTCTAACCTATAAAAAGTTAAAATTAAGTTTTAACCCGCATAAAACCTTATATACCCGCAACCCGCCCCGCATTAATTTTCAAAAAAACCTAGTTCAACCCGCCCCACATCCCTCCCCGCCCCGCC